TTCAGTAAAACGACACAAGTTTACAGGTTCAGACGTTCAAAATGGGTGGTCTGTTACGGAATCAAACGCTGCAAAATGAACCATGAACTTAGATAGGGAATTTTATAGAATTGTATCGGACCTGAACTGAACTGACGTCTGACAGAATCACTGATTGAAACCTTTATCTCAACTTTGAACGTCTTGAACAGCCATCAATAGTATCATCTCAAAGGACAAGTTACTCTAATGTTGAAAAATTTGGAAGATGTCAACATCATCTCGTTGGGGACTTAGGTGTTCTTTCTGCGTCCCCACGCTCTTGACAAAGCGAATTATCGCTTTCTTTATGTCATAACTTGTTATTGTAGCATTATTGGGTAAAACGGGTACCGTGCACAAGGGAGGTTTAGTTTGAAGTTTTTTTGGCATTATAGAGTTAGAGATATCGCTTGTAAAGATAGAATTGTAAGAAACCGATTTTATTTATTCCCTGGTCGGGGTCTGAAATATCATTTTTTGATGAAAATTATTTCGATTGGTTCTTTAGCTTTTCTCATTCGAATCCCTGCGTGTGGCATTTTAGATGGCTTCGATAACTTTTATCGGGAGTTACACCTTTCGGGATTATAATTTAGCGTTTTGTAATGGTAAACAGATAATCAAAGTATGTTGACAGAACCACCTAAGCAGGTCATAAGAGAGCAAGCTAGTTGAATGCATGAGACGTGGGCCTGTGGAAAGAACTCTTATAAGAATCTCCCTATAAAGTTTAGAGAAAATCGTCGAAGAAGTAACAAAACTCACTCCCAAACAGGAATCATGCTTAGAGTGGGAGAATATTACCAAAAATTGCTATTGACGTGACACACGTTTAACCTACCGTAGTTCTACGCATTCCCCTCTGTGATACGTGTGCCTGTCACAGTTGATGGATCTTGCGGAGAGCTTAAATATTTTGTTGTCTTCCATTCGCGTTAATCTTCTTGATCCGCAAAGATCCTCGAGTGTTTTAAGTTTACCTTTCCTCTTTGGTGTTTTTCGTCCCTTGCAAACTGCCATTTTTAAATTTCTTCTTCACTTAAAGAATATATTCCATTTGGCAAAAAAAGTCACGAGGGCGAGAGCTAGTTTAACTTTCAAAGAACACAAACCTCGTCAGTGTTTAGTCTACCCTCCCCCTCTCTGAAGAGAAAAATAAATACAGATTACACTGTGCAAACGGTTTAAAAATTACGTGTAACTTTAGCTGAGTAAGACGATTTTTTTGTGTCGCCTCACGTGTTTCATGAGTTCAGTTCTGTTCTGGGTATGTATTTTCTCTTCTGAATTTTAAAGCGACATTATTGCATTAATTCATGCTAGAAAACAGCTTGATTTTGACTCAAAGAGAGTTCATGCCAGGAATTGATGCTATGTTGCCATTACTCGGCTGGAATAACAATGAACAGAGATTACGAAAAACGGGCATTTATCAAACTGTAAATATCCACCCAAGGAGATTAGAGTTAAGTTGGTAATGGTCAAATCCTGCGATTAAAGACATACCAGTCTTTGTTTTTTTCGTCATTAAGTGGGATAGGAGTGCTCGTCGCTGTTCTTCAGACGTTCTAAGCTGGTAATGAACAAATCGATCACGGCAAAAGCTGAAATCTAATCTAACTTTTTTTCTTCCCTTTTCCTCGCAGCTCATGAAAAGACGCTGTCAGACTTTTGTCGACTGGAACATTGCGACCAGAGGATCAGTGATTTTGTGGGATTAAGCGGTTGCTTCTTGGTTTAATTCGAACGTTGATCAATTCATCTGAAGCAGGTTTGGGTCTCTCTATGTTTCACTAAAGACAATTTACTCACTATCAAGGGCTTCAGTCTAACAAAGGTTGTCAGTTAATGAGCGTTTTCTTTCTGAAGTTACGTCCAATACCATTTCTTGGCCGACCATGCGGCGCCCACAGAAGTGATTAAAATGCAATTTCTCCATACAATTTCATTGTATTATTATTATTATTATTATTATTATTCAGCATGCAGGTTAAGAGTGAGGGGTAGAGAAACTTGTTGGCTGGAATGTGTTTCCTTGATATACACCAAATTCTAATAACTTATTCAAAAGAAATTATATTGTGGCTAGAAGATAGGATTTCTTCATAGATCTTTGGAGTGAAGGGTGATGCGTGCACATTGCAGACGCAGCAAACGTTGTATTCCCTTTTATTTACTCAGTTCCTGTTCATAGTAATAACAGTTGTCAATTGCTGTTAGTACAACTACATGACCTAGTCTGCTCTTAGATCGCAAGGTCGTATTTCTCTAATCGTGGAGAAACGCACAACTGAATTCCAGTGTTATCCATGTGAAGGCCACACATCTATCCCTATAATACAACCGTAACTACGTTTTCAATTGACTATCGAAAGTAATCTGGGAGTAGTTTTGCTTTGATTCATCACGCTGTGCGATTGGTCCAGTAAACTCGTGCCACTTTCTCGACCAATCAGATGCAAAACTAAAAACGATCGCAACGTGGGTCGTCCACGTTTTCCCGCGCTTGAGGCGATTATCACGTTTTCACTTTGACTTCTCTTGGTGAAATTTTCCTTAAATCTGATTGGTCGTTACGATGTTCGCTGCTGGGTTTATGACACTCAGTCGAGAAGCATCGAATGAAGATCAACCGTGAACTTCGCTAAACAAAGCTGCTCGATGACTTAGGNGATACTGGAATAGTATGAAAGTATTCTTCTGTGAAAATTCTATCAACTGATATGCACCAGGGTATTTATTTAATCACTTTCACCAGAGTGTGGTGAGGGTCGCACAACAGAGCGAGGCTCCAAATTAAGTGCGCCCTATATCCCACCCATCCCACCCCAGGGGAGGACATCCATCACACAGTAATCTCGTGTGTGGGAAATTAACGTCTCCTACCCCAACCCTGCAGGAGACGGGACCTCCATTTATTCGTCCCTATCCGAGAAGACTAGAATATCTAACCATTTCTTGATGTTATAGAAAGGTAGCAAATTCTTCTCAATTATTTTTAAGACCCTGAGTGTTGGTCCGGCCGGGGCTCGAACCCTCGACCTCCCGCACAACAGTCCAGCGCTCTATCCATTGAGCTAACCGGGAGGCGGTAACTGTCCAACTGTCCAACTTATAATATTTTCTTCCTTCCTAACACCTTTTTGCTTGAAAATTTATTGATGTTGTGTGCAAACTCTTCTTTGGTCACACCGTGGCGTAAAAGGAGGGAACACATAAATTTAAGCACGACTTAAGTTGGACACTGACTTCGACAAAGGTTGCAAATGGAAAATTATAGGCTAAATTTTGCAACTTGTGCGGGGCGTGACTTCGCTGATTTAAGGTGCAGCTTGGACGAACAACCCTCTTACAATTTGCACGATACAAGTTTCAGTAACCACCATTTTCAGGGTTCCAGAAGGATGCCAGCGAAGGAGAGAAAAGAAGAATCTTTCTACTTCGTATAGCTGGCTTTTTGTGTGCCTTTTGAAGCCTCAACGACGGTGCTGTAAAAACGAGTGGCAACGTCACGAAAGGTTTAGGACGGACGAGTGGCTTCGCTTTTCATCGGTTTAAAGCTTACGGTAAAGTGCCTGTTTCGCCGCAGGTAAAATTCCTCGTAACATGTCGATGAGTTGTTGTAACAAGTGTCAGTGTTGTTACACTTAATCAAGGGCACATGAAAGATGATATTCGATCAGTTAGCAAGGTCACTGGCAACGTTCATGAATTATTCACGGTGTCATAAGAGACAAGTTGTTTCGTCGGTCCTGTTAATGCCGGAAAAATAAGTGGATAGTGAATTAATTTAACATGATCAGACTGCTGTATTCTGCTTTACAAGCAAAAAGCATGACAAAACAATTTTTTCTCCGTGAGAAGCCCTCATAGTTTTCTTTCAATATGTCCTAGTGAGCTGGCTTTTTATGTTTGAAATTAGCAAGATGAGACAAAGTTTAGGAAAGATATGACGTGTTTATTTCGACAGAAGCGAACACTGAGAACTCCTCAGTTCATAGTTTAAATATGATATTACTTGGTAGAGCGCTGCACTAGTATCGCAGAGGTCAGTGGTTCGAATCCCGTACAGGCCTGATTTTTTTCAGATCTGATTTTCGCTATTGCATAAATAGCGCTCTCTACTGCGAGGATCATGCATCATACGTATGATATTACTTCTTGCTTAGTCTTAATCTATGTTAGGTCATGCCAGGTTCATTGTGAAACAGCTCCAAACATTTCTCTGAAAAAATGCACAAACATGGTGAGCAGTACCACTGCTGTCTGCCCGACACAGGTCGAGATTGTGGGCGAACTCGGGCCCTCTAATGCAGGAATTTTCGTGAAAGATACACATCGCTCCAGCTCTTTCGTCCAAGGTTTCCTGCTCTTGACACGTATTAGACTGATAGGGAGTTAAGCGTGAGGTAAACACTGCCTCTGATTTTGTCGACTGGCTCTTCCAATCCAACAGAAAATACGAAAAAATATTCCATCATATGAAATGATACAGTGTAACGATTGTAAATAGCACCAATTCTGGAAATGAATGGCCACAGGCAGAGCGAACAATGCAGGTTTTGTATCAATTCTCTAGAACAAACTTACCGCCAGGAGCTTTTCGACGTTCTGAAGTTGTCCATTTTGGCTTTTCGGACGTTTTGCACTGTAAACACGAAGCTAAAGGCCCAACCGTGAACTAAAAAATTATCTGCGCGGTAATGTTGTACGAGAATGCTCAAGACAAATGGTAGCTAACATGCCATTTTGTTTATTGCCATTTATGCTCCTTGCGCAGAAAGTTGGTTGAGGTCCAGCTTGTGCTTGTTATTTTTTCGTTTGTAATGACAGAGAAGACAGTGTGAAGCGACTTTAGCCAGCTTCTTGCAGTAGGTATCTTTGCGCAGGTGTTCTAATTTTCTATCCTCATTAAAAATTAACATCTTGCGTATTAGAATAACACTTTTTTCACTAAGTGCCAAGAAAATCTCACACGGTTTGCATAGACGCGTTACAATGTAACTACCATCGATTTGGTTTCGTCGCTCGATGGAAAAGTCGTATATGGGATTCACAGGTAAGCCTGTGATGCTGTTGAATACCTTGTGCTTGTAAACCGGCTTGGTGGCAAAAAGTAACAGCACTTTTATTTCATTTTCTTTGATTTCATTTTCTGTGGATAGTTTCTCCTCTTTTCCCGTATCTTAGTTTCTGCTTGAACATGGCCTTCTGTGAGTAGTGCATGGTTCTACACGCCACTCTCAAAAGAATCGAATTGCCGACAACTTGCGTTTCCTTAGTTCCTGAGTCTTTTAAAAGTGTTAGCGACCAGTTTGGATGTCCCGTCAAGGACGCAAGTTCATGGTAAAACGTGGACGCCTAGTCTTTGTGTGTGCGTTAACTGACAAATTATGGAGATATTTTATACCATTATCACCTTAATGAATTTCTCCCACGCAGTGCTTATTCGTTGGATTCAGTCTAAGATAGATAGCACTTGTATTATGTCTAGTACATAATGTATTTGTCTTGTGTTTCTTTACAACCAGAGAAACCTTCCGTACCCTTTTGCTTTTTGTTTTTGCGCTATCCATCTTGCTTATTGCGTAGTGAACTCGCTTGTCCAAACAAAGACGCATTCACGTGAGGTAATCTCTCTTTCTTTTTTGTAGTTTGAGTTCAATTGTATCTATTCCATAAAGATGCTCCTGAGATGTTTAACTGTGAGGAGAGCATTTGTTTTTGTTAGCAGTATACTGAGCTGCCTTTCTCTTCTAGCAGGTGAGTGTATTAGTGACCCGCAGTTAAACTTTAGAATGTCTTTGTTCTATTAGCGCTTAAGGGTAGATAATTGTTGTATCCTCTAGCCGCTAGCAAAGTCCTCACCTTGATCCTCTGCAATTCACAGTTAATTGGCTTTGTATGGTACTTCGTCAAATCATTGCTTCGTTTGTTTTTGCTTTCATTCCATTTCTACTCGAAGACAGGTCCATCATACACCGTAAACGCGCCATGATCAGCGAAAACTGCACGTTCTACTCTGGCGTTCGTCAGATGTTCGTATGATCGCGAGTATAATTTGGATAAAAAGGCGGGTAACTTTGATGAAAGTCAATTTTATTTCGTGAGGATTTTGGTATAACTAACATATCAAACATTCTTCGTGTGCGGCAGTGTAGTTCAGTGAAGGTGATCATCAACTGTTTGGTACCACATTGCAGTGTGCAGTGCCGTATTCGTAAAAAAACTGAAACTTGAATTATGTTACATAGTAGTCACACACTGACTTTCAAGATTTGACGTAATGTCCAAAATTTCATCCCAGGTCAAGGTTAGATTTTTGCTGTTTACTTTTCTTCTCATTGACTGAAAGGGTGACACGTGCATTTCTTTAATTCACAATACCCACACACAAGCAAAATTCTTTATTCTATAATCTCCATATACGTCAGACATGCGACCTAAGCGTGGAGGAGCCCGTTTTAACAATGGTATAAAAGCAGAACTTTCATTTCTTTGCATTTAATTCTGACGCCGTTTTACCGCGGTGTCTTTGCAGTTGTGTCTTTGCTGGTAATTTGCCTCGTGGTTGAGTTGTTATGAAGGCGTTTGAAGGAATTTCCGGTGGTTCTATAGACTTGCCACACGTGTATGTTTGTAGGTCTAGGTTTGATACAATGGCTTTGCGTCAGATTGTTTTTCAATCGTGCGGATGTAATATGGTTGCGATGTAATCCACACTTTCCTATTTTTTAAAATAAAACAATTTTCTTTTCCGAGTCCCACCTGGGGCTCGGATTTTTTCTATTACACTAAAAATTGTTTCATCTTTAAATTTCCTTTTCGTCAGAATTCTGGCCTAAAGTTTACATACGATCTAGAAGTGTGTGTGTGTTTTTTTTGTTTTTTGTTGTTTTTGTTTTTGCTCCCGAGAGATAGTGCACCAGGCATCAGTCGTGAAAACAATACCCTTAGGGAAAACAATACCTTTAGGGAAAACAATACCCTTAGGGAATCTCTTAACTTCAGCTTATTACTGTGTCTGACGTTTTAAATGAAACTAAACTGTCTGTGATTATAACCGGTACCTTGTGTCGATATTTCTTAACTCGGCCTTTTCTTCCACTTCAAGACGTCTTTCGAACTTACTGGTTAAATTACGACTTTTTGTCAAACAGATTAGCAAAATGTAACAAACTACATCAATAATTCAGTTGTTTCGCCGATTTGGGCGATTGATAACCATGACTCATGCAGCCTTTTCACAAATTGAGTTTCGTATTTCAAATTACAAATTACAAACTACAAATTACAAATTGAGTTTCGTATAACAAAAACCCTCAGAATTCAACTTCGACATTTTGTTGAAACCTTATAGTCTTTGTTTTGTTTTATTTTGTCTTTTTTTAACTGACAGTTTATCTCCTTACTATCGCTCAAGTACCTGGTAACAGGTTGAAGAAATCTGAAACCCTAAATTGCTTTTTTACGACATTTATTGTCTTTGGTGATTTTCTACCTTGTAACTATTTACAATACTCAAAGCTTAGATGAAAACGAACCAGCAAAAGGTTTTAGGGATTTTTTAGTCCAATTTCCTTTTCTTTCATTGCACTCGTAAAAAATGTAATTAATGAATGGTTTGCCCAAAATTGCTACCTCTGTTGATACTGGATCTCTGTAAAACGCGGACCGGATAGATGCGGATGGCGGATGCAGATAGAAAAACGCGGATGAAAAATTGCGGATGGAAAAATGCGGATAGAAAAAAAATCTAAAGAACCCAAGCCGTCAATTGTTAATCAGCAACGCGTTGTTTATCATTTTGTATGTGATCTGTGCGATGCAGATTATGTCGGCTATACGGCCCGACACCTTTTTCAACCTGTCGCTGAACACAAAAATTCGGCAATTGGCAAGCATTTTCATGAAGCGCATGGTAGGAGGGATCGTTTGAATGATTGTCATTTGAAGATTCTGAGAAAGTGTCAAAGCAAATTTGATTGTTTAGTGTTTGAAGTGCTTTATATTAAGAAATTTAAACCTAATCTGAACGTGCAAACGGACTCCAAACAAGGTAGTGCTTTCCATTAAACTGGAAAGAATTTTCTTGGAGACTGATTAGCCTAAGCGCTTGTTTTAGTAGTTGTGTAGGGATAGGAGTTCCGTTTCTGTAGAATATTTCGTATGCTTTGCATACAGTGTCTATTCCCTCCTCTTGTGGTATATTTGTATATAAGCTCGTAACGTCCATTGAAACAAGTATTACGTTCTCCGGGACTTTCGTATTTTCTATGAAATTGACGAAGTCTGTGGTATCCTTAACATACGACTTTTGTTTTTGTGCTATAGCGGGGGTTCGACATAGCGGAGTTCGACTGTAATGACATGTTGAATGTTGTGGTTGTTTTTTTTTTTCCAACCGATTTTTTTTTCTATTGGCGCATTTTTCCATCCGCAATTTTTCATCCGCATTTTTCTATCCGCATCCGCCATCCGCATCTATCCGGTCCTCGTTTTACAAAGACCCGTTGATACTTACACAATAACTATAATATCAGACTGGCAGTCATCCAAATTTTGATAACTCTTGGCACGCACGAACCTTTGAGCTAACTGAATCAATAACAACAGCTTCTATATTGGTCGTCACTCATTTCAACTGTTAGGTTAAAATTTGCCCGTAAATCGTTGCTTTCGATAAGAAGTTGTCTTTTAAATATGAGATATTGCGTCTTAAAGGTGTAAAGTTGATATCACTTGTTCTCTTATGCAGCTTTTAGAGCTTTTAATTTGGGAATGTCTTAGCGCCCTTCCTTTTTACCTCCTAGGGCAGGATTTGCAAAATGGATGATAAATCGATGAATTTTTTTTTCGGTAGCATATAAACCAGTTTATTTTGGTTTGGTTTTTTTTTTTTCGGATTGTTTCCTTCCATTCCTTTCTCTCGGTCATGTAAAAACAGTCCTACATCCCTGTTTGTTTTAATTTTAATACTCGTGTATGAAGCACAGACATGTCTGGCGCCAATATTTCGGCCAAGTTTCAGGTATGCCTTCAGACTTGAAGGCTTAAGCCGGGATTCGCACTTGTTTTTGTGGCCCAAATATGTTTGGGTGCACCACATGGGAATGGTTTTCCAATTCTGAAAAATGTCACGGTTTCAAATAATTCAACAAAAAAAGAAGGATCGTAGGCCTCTACGAGAAATTACTGTGCCAACAATTAGATTGCGGCTAGTTCACCGCAGAAATCACCGCAGGATTTAGGGGTACAATATAAAATCCGTTGAGTCTTGGGTTCAGCAGAAGCGAGAAATTGATTCGGACGTATAAACAGTGTGAGAAGACTTAGAAGCAGCTTAAGGTTTTGTAAGCCGGGTGGAACGTAACTGTTTCAATGGTACTGGGAGTTACGGAGGCGTTGTTATTTATTTTTGACGTAGTAATATCTGATTAGCCATAATAACCCTTAAAAAACTGAGATGGGAAAGGAAAAGTTTAGGATGGTTGGTGAAACTTTCACGAGATTGTGTCTAAGCAGAGAAAACTGTTGTCTACTGCTGTTGCACTTGGTGCAGATTTGAAAAGAACAAGGGCGCAGAAGCTTTGATGAGTACGCACCAATGGCAACGAGCGCAAACAAAAACAGGCGATAGTCCCCGCGACTCTAAGACAGTGTGTTTTTATGGCTACTGCCTCCCAGGGAGGCGAAGCCATAATGTTGTTATAATATTGTATTTGCTATATGATGTGTTTCCACTTCAAAAGGAGGCTCGTACCTGGTTGAATTTTATATATATATATATATATATAAATTTTTTTTTTTCTTATAACCAGGTGTCGACAGTGTACCCGATGTTCAACACAAAGATGTTTCCCACAAGTCCTCGAGTGATGAGGAGGTAGGTTTATTCATGTGGTAAGGTAAAGTGCTGTCTCGTCCATCAGAACCCGCGATCTCTTTGACCAGCGCCCCCTTCCCATGCATGTGAAGAGTATAGTAAACTCTTAGGGGAGATTGAATAAAACACTCTCAAACCCGGGGTCAAACAAGAAAGTTGTCGCCCACCAAGAAATCGAGGATTGGGCGAGAGTTCTGTCGGCTTTCATAATCTATGGAAAAGCCGACAGGTGGGATTTTACGAGCCCAAGATTAGTGCGAGCTGACACCAAGTGCGTTCAGGGGCCAAATAACCGGTGGGTAGGGGGTGAGGGGCGATGAGATGGAGAAGTTTAAGTGAAAACAACTCTTAACTTGAACTCTCCAAACGGGGGGGAAGGAGAGAGGGTAAAAGAGTAGGTGAGCTAAGGCCCCTACACTTAAACGAAGGAAGGGACGGCGAAGATCCTCCATATTTGGTTTTGGGTCATGCTTCCAGCGCAGCATAGAATTGGTCATGCTTCCAGCGTAGCATAGAATTGGCGTGTAAAAATGTTTGTTTCGTCAGTTAATTTCACCAATCGATTTCACTGGGATCGCGCTTAGCATTGAAAAATTTCTTTTTGAACAACTGCGCGAAACCGATCACGGTCATACTGGAAGCATCATTGAGACTGCAAATTACAACGAGGTTTGCTTGTGCAAACGAACTAGGCAAAGTACAACGTGGGTGATTTGAGAAGGGGTATTACGCTTGACTCGCTGTGCGATAAGCACCACCTCTCCCCTCCCTCGCACTTTTTAAAGGCCCCACCTTCTCTGCTCCATACTTTTCATCATTCATGGGACGTGCACCTTATGAAATTCAAAGGATGACTACCGAGACAAAAACGCCTTGAAGCTAAACAAACTAGCATTAAAACATACTGCTGGCATACTGAGCTGCATTTATTAAAGTCGAATGAGCTGTAATCCTCGTTTAATTGTAATGGCAACATGTAGGCTTCTTATGCAGGTAACTCAGGATTACAATTAATTAGGTTTTGGTTGATCCGGCCTTAATACTTAAGTCAGAGGAAGTCAATTCGAATCATTTCCATGTCCACTTTGCGCCCCCCCCCCTCCCTCCCCTACGAAGGTCTGACGTTCGGAACCGGTCAATTTTTTCCAATTAGTTTTGGTGGATAATTTCCTTTCACAATCTTCCAATATTGAAAAAATAAAATAAATCAGATAGAATCCTCCATTCGGACCTGGCCTACTGTATACACCAGCTGTATCTTAAAGAATGATGACATTCACTTGTCTTGTGAGGAAGTTCAAGAAAAATGTTCTGGGTCTCCAAGAGCATTGAGGAGCGTAATTCGAACACCTGACCTCCTGTTCCTCCCGGGGGAATTAGATTATTTGATTTTCATGAAATAGTGAACCAACAGATAACACCTCTGTTGTAGTAAGCCGTGAATATAATGGGGAAGAAGATTATCTTTGATGAGAAAGAGTAGTGTCCTAGTTCAAGGCTTTCTTGTTTTTGGTATTGCTTTTCGGAGTTTCACAGACAGAGGTGTTACATAAGGCACTGGTGTTTCGTGTCTCGAAGCGACTCAAAAGGGGTCGAGACACGCTGTTTGAGGAAATGCTTCAAGACAAATGAAATGAAGTTCACCTCTTATACGGCTAAACCCTGCCAATCTGATACACGCTACGAGCTTTGATTGCATTCGATAAAATGGGTAGTATATATGTGAAAATGCATAAGATATTTTGTCCCAGTCATGACAGCTATTTAGTAGTCATTTCTACGCACAATTGTTACGCTTGAAATGTTCCACCAATATCAACAGAGCTTTACAAACAAACAGTCAAGCAGCGCAATTAAAGTACTAACCGGTCGTCATTAACATATTTATAGAGTCAATTTCGACATCATTGCACGGTGAACCTCTTTAGATCGCACGCTAGCAGTCATAGAAAGCTTAGTAACTGAGTGCTTTCTCCATGACGAAGCTTTGCAGTCCGAGAACTGGATACGTTTTGCTTTCTCATGGAAAGAGTGAAAACAGCTTAGTGTTATTCCTGAAGTCATTGGAAGACACAGTCGAGTCTCCTCGAGCTCAAATCGGATTCAGACAAGGTAACTAATAATTCGATTTTTGGTAACTTCTCGCAAATTATGGAAGGGAAACGTCACCTAAAGTTGCAGTTCCGCCGTAAATTTTCCCTATTACGGTTATGTGAGCTCTAATAATGTTTGCACTTCCGAACTGAGTAGAGTCTTTCCTCTGTGAGTTGTGTCAGGTATGACCGCCCGTAAATTTTATCATCTGTACATTAAGATTTGTAAACGTCACTCGATTTCACAGAAGGTTTTTCCATACCTTTAAAGCCATATTTAGACTGTAAGTCTAAGGAACACTATCTTGGATTGATAACGAGTTAAAATCAGAAAGTTCGCATCCTTGGTATGGCGTATATGTTTTGAAATTTTTTAATTTTCTCGCCAAGATCTTAACACTGGGTGGAAATAGGTCTGCGCTGATTACATAACACTTGGAAGCCGACCGTGATTATTTCTTTCAAGGCAGTTGCTGTTCCTTTAATTTCCCTAGAGCCATTACACTTTTGATGTATCGGAATGCGTACGATGTATGCTTAATGTACTATTTCACACCCCAGTGAGTTTTCTGTAGTTTGCTTTAGGACAATTAATTTAGACAAATTCCCAAGATTAATATCGATGAACGGTATCATAACGTAACTGTCTTCTAAAACACACTGCACAAATGAAAGTGGAGCTGTTTTTCTTCGAAATATCACACTTTCTAGATTAGACACACTACTTAGAAATTTAGATCTAAATTTAGGCTTGTATTGTTCGATTATAATCTTCTTTCTCAAAACAAAAGAAGCTACATTCCATCGTTCACCAGTAAGCGCATAATGTACTCTTCCGATGCTCCCAGAAATAAACAAATCGTCAAATTTCCATATGTAATCGCTTGAATCAATACAGTCAAGAAAGGCACTTATTTTTTTTCTTCTTGCATTCTACTGGCGCTGGATGGAGTTTTCCTTTTAGATTTTCTTGTTTCTTTGTGATAACTTGGTGTTTGCGTTCTCATAGGAAGTGGCAAGTCTTGCGACGTGCGTGCAATACTTCGTCAACAGATATATGTGGACGCGAATTAGGGAACTGGGTCCGGTTCATGAAATCGAGGTTTACAAGTAAACTTTTGGGAAAGTTCTGTGATAAAACGAATTTTGCATTTTTATACTGGAGTTTTTTTATCGTAACAAAGCCCATTTCTGATAGGAAGTCATCAGAGGAAAGAAACATAAAAAAGAACAAGTCAAATCGCGAGGAAAACTTTGCTTTCCTATCACAGTCATAACTAGTTTCCAGGGAAGTGTTCCTGTATGCCTCGATTTCATTCACCCAAACCAGTACGCGTTGAAACGAAACACACATATTGCAATGGTAACTTCGTCAGCAGCATTTTCCCGCGCATACATCTTGATGCAGTTTCGTTTGGTTTCCCAATATGGATCGTTGATACATGTATGCTGCATATGTAACTTGTTTAAACTGGCCTTCGTAACGAGCTCTGCTGACCACTATGACTGCGTGTGGATTTCTTTTAGGACAATAGGCCTAAACCAAAACAGCGCGGAAAAACGCGGGAAAACTCGTATTACCGATGATGGTATTAACTGGGTATTACATGTTGACACGACGTTGCAAGGTTTTGCTCTGTCATCAGAGGAAAGCTAGTGACAATCGAAACGGTTTTTCTTACTTTTTTTTCCCATACGTCCTGAATACTCCTGTCAGCTAACCCAGTCGAGGTTTCTAAAATCACAAGCCGATCGAGAATTGAAGTATTGATCCTTGAAATGATTAAAATCGCAGTCAAATTCAATTCACTTCAAATGCGAGTGAAGGAGCGCGAAAAGTGGCCTACTGCCATACGGTGTTGCATCAAACGAACTTTCTCAAAAAGAAGGCTGTCTAGTCCTGTCCGTGATCTAATTTGTAAACACTTCAAAGAAGCAGAAGATAGGTGGATCAGAAGGTTAAGATTAAGTAACTTGAGGGTTAGTTTTTTTTCTAAGTGTCCCTTGTCAAATTTATCCTTAGGCACAGTAATTATTTATTACGTTTAACCAACGGTCTGAAAACGGAGCACCCCAAGATACCCCCCCCCCCCTTGTTACGCCTGTCCTGTATCCCCTAAGAAAAATTCTTGCTATGAAGATACTTTTCTCAAAATATTATTGAATCACGGGCGGAATAGCTTGGAGCTTGCGCCTATTTGTAGGCATTTTGAGAAAAAAAATGACTAGTTCGTCTCGATTTCACTTGGCTTAATTACTACTTTGGAAGCGTTTTTAAGAAAATTTCGTATCTAAACCTGCTTCTGTAGACATAACTCTGACACTCAACTCACCATCGAATTCTCTTCAGCAAAGTGGTAGAGCATTGGAGTGCGAATCTCAAGGACCAGAGTTTGATTCCAGATAGAGGACTCGCTCATGATAAAACATTAACGTCTTTCTGTATTTGGCTGGTAAAACTGAAGTATTTTCTGGTTGTAATATGCTCTACTGGCGGTGTATCGGGATACTGTCTCTTGAAGGTTAAGGGCCCTTTCGTTATAATGCCATTTAGCGCTCTGAGAATAGCTGAGGCATAGAGTCACTCATCTTATACTGCCACGCCCACGATTCATTATGAGTGTACCTTGTCATTTACAAGTCTTTTTTTAACTGGGATTGAAAAAGTGTAGACAAAATCAGCCACACCTGGCCTTACAACTTTGCTGTTTTATTTATGAGGTATGTTCGGCCCGGTATACATGTTGTATCGGAATTCCTTTGTTTTTCGCTGTTGGGGCACATGGCTTTGTTTGCTGTAAACAGTTGTTCATAACGAGGCGCTTTAAGTGGTTCACTAACTTTTTAAAGGACTAAGGCGTTGACACTTCTAATGTCATGTTTGTGACTATCTTTTACGCTTTGATTTGTTCTCGCAATATTTGCCTTACTTTTTCTTCGATCGACGTAGCAAGGTGCTTTTGCACGTTTCGTTAAGTTTGAAAAGTTGTTTCATATGGTTCCGCCCTCTCTGAGACTGTTTCTGTCCAATACAATCGGGATTAAAAACATTCCTTTGGAAGTGATCTCAGTGGGAAAGCACTGAATTATTTTTCTGGCAGCTGGTAGTAGCCAAGTACCCTGTGCGCTTAAATTTCCATAGAAACTGCGCTACGGCGATGACGATACAAACAGACGCCGTTCAAGGTATAACCACTCAAATCGGTTTTAATCCAAGACAAGTGAAACCAAAGGCTGGAAACAACTTAACGCACCACGCAGCCGTTTCCTAATTGTCAGCTGTACAACAGTATTGTAAGGACCCTCCTTCCACAGGTGTTCGTGTTGCTTACTTTGCATGACAATCTCGCCCTACTCAATGGCACGCTTAGATTCTTTGTTCTGAAACAGCTGTGGCACGTGGTCGCACGTCGGCTGAATTCCGCCGCTGTTTTGTTTGACTTTGTTAACGAGCTCGTGTCGTTTTACAGATATTTTCCCAAAAAAAAATGAGAAAAAGATCGAATGTTCTTGTTCTGATTCTCAAAGATAACGTTTCCTCACTCATCGCCGCTAAACAGATTTGTTGGTGACGAGGCGAATATAGAGGCGCGGAGAAGTATTAAACACACACGTGCCGTCCCTATTATATTTTAAGCGTCCTTACACAAAAACCCATACTTGAGGATTTGTTTTTCTCTCATTTTAGATATATATATATATATATATACATATATATCAAACATTTTAGTCGCTTTCTGCAATGTGATTGACTTTTCTTTGATACTTAATATACCTAAATGGCGTCAAAGCCGTCGAACATCGAGGCGCGAGATAACTTTGCGTGTCTTGAGGCATATTCGCTATTCATACAGCCATTGTTTTAAAAGCCATGTGTGCGCTTTTGTTTGGACTAATACGAGAACTAATGGAAAAACTATTAGTATTGATGGTTTTTCTTTAATATGCAAATTCAAACAACTTTTAATGAACTCGAAATGCTAATATCTTCACCCAATACCACGCTACTCGAAAAGTGGTTTCTTTCCGTAGCTCGGTATTGTAAAATCAACCCAAGATATTTGCTTTTGTTGTCATGGAAAATTCCAGTTTCGTAAGATTGCTTATGAGTTTCTCTTTTGAAATTTACATCACAACTGCATCTTAGATTCCCTTAATATTAATTTCACCAATGCGCCGTGAAGACGCGCCACTCCTATTTATTTAGCAAGCGTTCTTTTAAATCCCTAACTCTTGATCTTTATACAAAAGGCACCGGAAAATTGTCTCCGTTAGCTTTATCTCAGGTGATATCTGATGTATATAATGAAGACAGTTTCCGTGCTCCAGTGACGCATTAGTTGAATGCCTCCGGCGATATTTGAAGCTCAATACGATCTATTTTTGCAAGAGACAATTGATACGACACTCGTTTTGTCACGGTGTTAGGCACGGGCCAAAATCTGCTCCTGTGGGCAACCATTTCCTCCTTCTTTGAAAGGTCGAAGGTGTTAGGTCCGAGAACGTGATCGAGGCGACAAACTGAAGTCAAGAAATTTAATCTTGTGAAGCGCCGCTAGTGAAGGACATAAAAGGTTTTTTCCTAATTGATATAGGATCAGGGAAATGTATGGATCAGAAAAATGAGGTTTTAACGGTAATTTCAAAGCTCTCCTAGACGTTGATAACTGGATTTCTGAAAAGTTCGCAGGTAGACACATGATCGTAGAAAAAAAAAAAAAATCTTCAGCTCCATTTAATCTCTCTTTATTTTCTCCAGGATGGTTAAAATTGCTGCCATGCCATAGGTTATGAGAAATTAAATTGTCTTGAACGATAGTTAATTTGAATGTTTATCGTCAGTCTTGTTGCTTATCAGACACTCGATCAACTCTGCAGCTTTTCTGTGGCTGTAGATATGATAATTATCGGCTAAACCGCAGTAAAATCTATCACGTCTCCTCTCCATAACTCGCTATTTGTACTTGTAATTAACTTTGCACGTACTTGGGGTAAGAGCGAACCGCAAATTGTCGCTGTATCGTGCATCAATGTTTGTAAAACTTTGAGGGAGAAAATCATCACGTAATAATTGCGCTCTGTCACACCACTAAAGTGAGCCAATTCTCTTAATGTCAAAGCTTTCCCGAGCTTAGAAGTTATCACCAACTATTCGAAGTGACGAGAATGCGACTTTTTAAACCCTCTTGAAGTTCCTATCTGCTGGTTTCCAGGCATCAGTGCTGGACCAAGAGCATCTTTAAAGAGCTCATAATTAGAAGCAATTAAATCTATACTCTCTTACTGACACGCGCCACGCTCAGTAATCGCCATTCAGGATCAATTCGTATTACGAACTGTGCTCGTTTTTTCACAGCGCTGGTCTGTCACCGAGTGACAGAATTCTTATATGGTGGTTATCTTTAAGAGGCCATTGGACTGTAAATCTCGCATCTAACGTCATTTATCCGTATTTATGCTCTTTAGAACAGACAGGTCGTGTCAAATCCTTCGATGTGGGTGGCCTCAAGGGGGTTAAAAGTCCCAAAAAATAAGATCAAAGTCTATGCTATTATTTTCTACACTTGTGACTAGGCACTGATCAGCTTTTGCCTTGTTGAACCCAGGTGCAACATTGGGTGTTGTCCTCAAGGGACCTTGCTTGGCGTCTATCATCCATAAAACAAGCGAAACGCGGCCCCATTCTTCTTCAGCCTTAGTGGCACGCGCCGTATGTATTGTTTACACAGTGTTTCCGATTACCATTTGTTAGGCGCAAACCACACTATTTAGTTTGGTCTTTTCCTGTAAACATTTGAAATCTTTTCGCCGCGTTCTAATACGCCGCTTGTTGCTCGAAAGTAAAAACGTATTAAAATCTCAGACAATGAGTGCTTTTCGGCGTAGACATTACGGAATTGTCTGATTTCTGCAGGTGGATTCATGGATATTCAAATCCCGGGCGGCCTTTTGCCTTTTCGCCTTCTCTGCGTCGTGATCTTAAATAGCTTTAATAGTTTCTTTTATCAAATGCGTTTGATGTCAAAAATCTTCTCCGGCTTTGGCGTAGTGACCTTTCCGCTAACATGGATTATCCTTAAGCTTGGCCTGTAGATAAATTAACGCGATAAAATTAACAAAATTTCGGAGCCAGCTGTAAAGGAGTCAGCTAAGACCAACTGGAAGAAACGTGATACGCCTTATCAAGGTCATTTCTAGAGTGGTGCTAAAAGTTCCAAGTAGCTAGGAATAAATTTCTTGTAGAAAATGTTTACGGTCCTCTTCGGTTCAGCCAATCAACGACAATTTATGGAAGCCATAAGTGTACCATTGGTATCATGTTGCGTCACTAATTAATCTACGCATGCTCATTAGCATTACCGCGCCTTCAACAACACCACATCTGGCTTCTGTTTTTCATAATCACACAGAATCGTATGATTTGCAAGTGAGCTGAGCTCGCATCGCATCGACAGGGCGGCCTTTCATGTCGCACGCAGAAGAACACCAAATTTCGGCCGCGATTCCCAAGGCTACACTAAATTCTACGTAGTGATTTTAGCGATGTCCGCCGGCCTGCTTGTTAAAAGTGTATTTTTCGAAGTGCTACTCCAATTCATTCATGTGCAGGTAGACCGTGTGCTAACTAAGTGGTGAATTCTCGTGTTTTGGTCAGGTGTAATGCTCAAATCTGCAATTTTTTTTCGACTCTGTGTCATAAACCAATTTTCACTTCTTTTTTTCGCAGATTGTCACCGGAGCAGGTACATTCGAAATCCACTTGGTTTCGATACAAAATATTAGAGGTGAGAAATACGATGGTAGCTGCTGTGATGGGAGTCGCACAATATATCGAGGACAACATCAATGCCTGGACGAGTGCGACACATTCTTCAGAGTTTGTCTCAAGCAATACTCACAATCTGTTTCACCAACGGGTGCTTGTACATTTGGCGAGCATACAACTGCTGTTCTAGGAGGGAGTTCGATCACGTTTACGAACACTTCATCGGCAAGTGGTTTTCGCAACCCGATTTCTTTACGCTTCGAGTTTTCATGGCTGGTAAGTCGTTTTAAATCCTGTTAAAATTTATCTCAAAACACCAAAGGTTTTGGCGTCACTCTGTTTGATGATTTCCGTTATTTTCTTAAATCTGAAGAAAATTCAGCGTTATCATTTGGATTAAATTTATGCGACGTTCACGCAGATGGGATATATTTTTCAATAATAAAAATTTAATGTAACCGCGTCTAACAGCCGCTTTTAGCCTTAAAAAAAGAGAGTTTAGTGAGGAAATGGTTTGGATTTTTTTAAAGAGATTTTTATAAAGGTAGTATGAATAGTAAATGCGACCGCTGGGAGCACGCTCACAAGAACAATCATTTCACTTGAAAGTTTGCTTTTCAAAAAATTAATTCCTCTCATTGGCTCTTGGAAGCCTCTCAGAAATGCACGTTCATTTTACAGAATCGACAACTCCGTCTCAGCGTAAAATCACAGAAATAAATACAGCTGCAACTATTTAAACAGGCCGCGCTGGGCAAAACCTGTGTGGAAGTTATTTTCTTTGAGAGCATCGCATCATCGGTTTTTAGGCTTGTTTATCCTAGATTGTAGCGTAGTTTTGGGGCCACGTGTCTTCAGTTTGACAGCCTTTTGTGAGAATATTATGTTAATTGTGGGAGTTACGTTGTATTTGCAACACAATGATAGCTACTGACTGGAAAAAATCAAAGAATCAGCCTCGAAGCCGCATGGCCGAGAGGCGCGATTTATTCGTTGAGTGTTTTGATTCACCTACGATAAAAACGAAGTGTTGGAGGCCTCCGACTTGTCAATTTCATGATGTATATTGCAAGAAATTAACGCATGCGAAACTGTTTGCTTTCAACTTTCCCACGTTCATTGGGCGTCAAAATAAATAGTTCTCTATTCGTTACTTCGGTAGCTACTGAAAGTATTACAATGCAATTAAACTTTCAATTGATAGCATACTCTAGAGAAATGACTGGTTGCCAATGGAGTTGATCTTTATTCTGTCTCCTTTAGCATTGTTTGATCTCGATTCGTGGGTTTTCATGATCAACACAAGAGCTTTTTATTAACTCGGTTAGATTGCGGTGGTTTGTTGATTTCATTAAACCTCTTTTTCATCTTTTCTCTGTACTGAATAGAAGTGACACATGTGCCGAATTATGGTTTAGAAGAAAACAATTCCCAGTTGAGGGACTTGATGAAAATATATCTATTTTATTCATCGTTGCGCGGGAGAGCTTTTAGATTACCGTTTACAAGGAATTCCTAAGAGCTTTGGTTTTACAAAATTTGCTAGTTTGCTGTGACTGTGAAAATTGTTTGGGTCATCTTGTGTTTTTTTATTAGTTTTCTTTATATTATCTGCATGGTGCCCGATTGTAATCAAAGAATATATATCAAATTGCACTCAAAATAAATTAATCCTTTACTTATGAGATCTTGTATTCTTTGTGGTTTTTGTCCACTGCCTGTGGCATCTTAATGTCTATGATTATATGTCGTCCATGAGGTCAAACCATCAGTGAAAAGAGTTATCTTTACAGTGGTCAAGATAATCTCAAAATTTGTTCTTGGAGTGTTTTGTAATTTTTTTTAGCTTTATGTCTGTTCTTTGAACTTTGAATTCATTTCAGTAACTGTTGTGTTAGCTTTATTGTTTAGCATTTGACTGTTTGCTGCAACTAAAGCTTTGATATTTTTTCCAGAACCTATAACATTACCTCATGTTATCGCAAAGCTCAAACACTTTTATATAATTTCAAAAATTTACTGTGTTGCTCTCCAAGGGGACATAATAAAGAGATATACCTTAAACTTTTTGTGCCACTAATTAATTGTTTTGAGTCAGTCAAAAACATCTTTAGTATTTTCCTGATAAGAAGTTAGAAGTCAAATCATTAGTCTGTCTAAAAGGCCAGTTATGTTAAGTCCAATTTAATTTGATTGTTTCTTTTAAGATGTCAGTTTAACTTTTCACTTTTTGATCTTTATGCTATCAGTAATGTTGGAAATTTAGATGTGTTAGATTGAAACACAAGACTGCATGTGAATTATGAATTGCAAATAAGCCAAAATACTTCAAGGTTTCCTTCTTTAACCACAGAGAAGATTTTCCAGTTCTTAATAACTACTGTATTTCCTCAACAAGTATTTGCCCTATGAAGATTTTTTCAGCATAGTTTGCAGTCTTTCAAAATTGGCTTATAAAATGAAAAAATTGGAAGAGTCTTGTTTATTTTACAAGTTTTGTGTTAGTTTTATGGAAATAATAGTTTCTCTTTTCTTAGGTAAACAATTTGGGAAGAAACAGAATCAATCATATTTCCTATTTGCACAGTAGAAATATAATCAGCTGTCAAAAGCAGCTCAGTCCATTCGTAACAAAAGAGGTCTTGTGTTTGGAAGTACCTGAAGGTGTTCTGCTACCAATATTTCTTTAAGGTATACTCCCTATTGAAACATGGCTGCTAGCAGTATAAACCTGATGATGTTAAGCCTGTTTTCATTTCAAATGCAGAAAAAATGAAAGAAAATTGCTAAATAACTTTCAAACTTAGCCCCCTTTTGTAAACATCTCTAGGAAAATCCATGGGTAGCTTTTGTGACCATAAATACTCTTGTAAGCAATGTTTAACTTTACAGGTGCTATTTTCTCTCCAATTTTGCTAAATTTTATTAAGACCACCACAAAAAATAGTATCACATCATGATGTTTCCTATGCTTTCCTTGTAGGAAATTTTTTTCTTGTGTTGTTGTGAAGCTTGAAACTAGGTCATTGATAGAACCAGTCAGAGTTTCAAGAATGTTCTTGGTCTTCTCACTTGGCTAACATTTTCAAGTTTTTATCCATTAATTATGAAAATCTCTTGCTGGAAGCTAGGATTTCCTCAGAATACACAGCCATATTTCTGAAACATGTGTGCACACATCTTTGTGTTCTTTGTTGTAATACTGCAGTTTGCTCTTCAATATCGTTTAAGAGCATACTGAATTTGAATGAACTGAGGTTTGGAATTATAGAATTGCTCTGTTACAAAGCACAAATGAAATGAATACCTAATTTGATGAAAAACCTTTTTGCCGGAAAAGCTTGTGGTAGTAAATGTTGTGATTTCTAACTGTTTCTCTTTTCTGGCAGTCTCAGAATTTAAGTTTGCTATGGTATATCCTGAGTTGCAAAAATCTTTTAACTTCAAACCTTTGTTTGTGCTAATGAATTGAATAATAAATGACACATTGGTAAATACTAAATTTTTAACCAACAGAATGTGGTATAAAAATTGTTACAACACACAGAATCTTGAACATCTTTTTTTTCTTGGATGGAAGGGTTTTAAAAAAGAGTAGACTCTGTTTGCATAGGAAAAAAATAGGATTTGTCATCGACAACTTTTGCCAAATTTTACTTACATATTAAATGTTATTTTTATCAAAGGGTTTTAAACTTGACTTTTTAGGCAAGTTCATAACACTCTTATATTTTATTTAAATTTATCTGGAAATTTATGTGAAACTTGTTTGCATGGGTATATTTGTAAGAATCATAAAGGTGAACATACCTTTTCACATGTTTTATACAATGGCTTCTGCCATATATTTTATTGAAAAATTCCTTTTCTCATAAAAATTTTTTGTCTTAAGTGTCCGTTATGCTCTGAATGTATGACAGTGTTTGCATTAACAAAGCTGAAAAAATATTATTTGAAAGGTTGCCCAATATATAATCAAAGCAGCTGTTTGAAAAAATTTCAAATATTTTGAAATGGATTTCTGAAAATCCTCTGACTCTCCTATCAAAAAGAAAATTTTCAATTGTTATTATTAGTTTGTGATTGCAGTCTCTTTCCCCTTTATTTGTGCCAAAAGCATTGAGTTTCTTAATTATCAGTAATTTCTCCTCATGATGTGAGTCAAGTTTCATTTCTGAATGCAGAGTGTGGGGAAAGACAGTCTATTGTGCTTAATTTATTGTCATCACCCCACACAAAACTTGTGTGTGTCATGTGTCATGTGTCATGCAAGAACTTTACCGGTCATATGCCTTTCATTTCAGACCACGTACTATTTAATTCTGGAGGCATTGGATGCGGATAACTCAAGTAAGGTTCATCTCTACCCAAATGGTGCAAAGCATTCAAGCCTATTTCTTGCATGACTGAAGCCCTTCATTCTTTATAATAAATGCATTGTTGTAATGGTTATTCATATTCAATATTTTCCTATACATAAAGTTGTTATGGATGTGGAAGATTATTCTCAATAGATATTTTGGCAAGTTATGTTTCATAAAAAAGTTAAATGAGTGATGAAATTTTAATGCGTAATCTCTCTTTTAATCCTTTGGCAATACTGTTGTTGTGGAATAAATGGAAATTGTTTTCTGTTTCTTCCATGAATCATGAATATGGCATAGCCTCAAACCTATCTTCTTTTTCATGAATATTGAAAGGAAACAGCAAACTCAGCTGCGTAATTGAATTCAGTTTGAATATAATTTAATTTACTTATACTTGAGAAGGAAGATTTTGAATAATTGTCTTGTATTACTTAATGAATTTCTGTCAAACTTGCTGTGCAATGAACTAAAATAGTGGGGCTTCTTGCTTATCTCTAATGAACAAACTATGACATTTGCTCCCATTAGGCAACCATGAACTCATAGATAGAGCAACTCAGCGAGGAACACTACTTCCTAACAAGACATGGGAGATTCATACATACAATGGTCCTGCAGCCACTATTAGTTACAGACTAAGGGTGGTTTGTGACATAAATTACTATGGGAAAACTTGTACTGAGCTTTGCAAACCGCGTAATGACACGTTTGGACATTATAGTTGTGATGAGAATGGAAAAAAAGTTTGTTTGCCTGGATGGAGAGGAAATTTGTGCGATACAGGTAAGTGTCAACATGCTTAAAATTGGTCCTTTTCTATACAATTGTGCCATGAAAGGGCTAGAAAGTACTGATGAACACAAATATAAACAACATGCTGTATTTTCTTTCTCTTTTCTCTAGCAATCTGTAAAACAGGCTGTGATCCAGTGCATGGTAGCTGTAGTGTTCCAGGTGAATGCAGGTAAGTGATGATGTGTTTAGGATTAATTTTTTTAACAAGAGTAAGTCTTTGTTATTGTGGATATGTCACCTGTCAACTCTGCAAAGTATTCATTGCAATTCATTTATAACTTTTATGAATTGCATTGTGTTTGTTTCAGCTGTAACTCAGGCTGGAGAGGGGATCTTTGCGACCAATGTCGGCTCTACCCAGGGTGTGTCCATGGAACTTGCAGTCAGCCATGGCAATGCAACTGTCAACCACAATGGGGAGGACTTCTTTGTGATGAAGGTAAAAGAAGCTTGTGTTTGATAGGGTTGTATTTTATCCTTATATATAGTCAATCTGCCTTTGTAGGATTTTAGCTTCACAGATTTCAGTCCTGTTGGTGCTATATTTTTTGACAGATCTAAACAAATGCAGAGAAAAACCTTGCCAGAATGGAAGTATCTGTTATAACACGGGGGCGGATCGCTACAGATGTGAATGTCAAGCTGGCTTTACTGGGGTCAACTGTGAGACGGCAATTAACTATTGTGCATCATCGCCGTGCAAGAACAATGGAACTTGTCACAATGATGCCAGTGATTTCCGCTGTTCCTGTCCTCCAGGTTGGGCTGGGCCTACTTGTGAAATAAGTAAGTTTAACATGTCAAAGATGTGTGTTTCAATATCTGTTAAAATGTTTTTGTACAGGAATAATTCTTTAATTGCTGACTGTGTTCTCTAGGCAGGGACTGCCAAAGCCGACCTTGTCAAAATGGGGGGACATGCAGTAACACTGGCCAGGGTCACCAGTGTAAATGTTTACCAGGCTGGAAAGGACACTTGTGCAATCAAGGTTAGTTTTTCTCCGTTTTATTACAGTATTCTCTCCTCGTATGGTACCACAAGCATAAAGGAAAAAAAAGTGCATAATTGACTTTTGATCAGGAACTAAGACCATGGACTTTTGTATCATTACAATCCCTACTAATTTCCATCTCTTCTTGTCCCTCGCGGAGGGAAATATAGACTGCTTGCTGTCTACATCATTTATGAAAAGTTTTGGTTCCAGAACTTTTTCATCAAACTAATGAAAACTAAATTTTGTTGGTAGGATTATTGGAATGTGAAGTAACTCTTGTGGTAATTTGGTGATTGGACAATAAAACTGCCTTAATTCACTAAATCTGTAATGTTACCCTTTGTCAAACTAATTCAACAGATGTGGATGAGTGTGCAACCAAACCATGCTCCAATGCTCTCAAGTGTATCAACTTGGTAAATGACTATGCATGTGAATGCAAGGAAGGATGGAAGGGAAGAAACTGCAATGAGAGTGAGTATTATTTCTGTTTTTCCCTTGCACATTTGTGCAAATGTACAGCATAGTGTTTGTGATGCAATTAACGACAAGAATGAGTTTCATGTGACTTTTGTATTTTCTTTTACCAGGTATCAATGATTGTGCAGGACAGTGTAGAAATGGTGGAACATGTGTGGACTTGCAGAATGATTACAAGTGTAATTGTCCTAGTGGATTTACTGGCAAGGATTGCCAGACCAACATTGATGATTGTCAGTCCTCCCCATGCATTAATAGTGGAGTGTGTAAAGATGGCATTCACAGCTACAGTTGCATTTGCCAAACTGGATTCACAGGAAAAAATTGCCAAGTTGCAGTGAATGAATGCCAGCCTTCACCTTGTGTCCATGGAACATGCACAGATCTACTTAATGACTACAATTGCTCATGCAATGCAGGGTATACTGGTAGAAATTGTTCAGTATTGGCAACGACTCCAAATACTTGCGACCCATACCCTTGCCAGCATGGAGCCACCTGCACTAAAAACCCTGGCTCCAATGCCTGTAACTGTCCCCATGGCTACACTGGAGCATTTTGTGAAACAGACATCAATGAGTGCTTGATGGCAACCTGTCATAATGGTGGCACATGTGTGGATGCCACTAACGGATTTAAATGTGTCTGCCCAGCTGGTTTTTCAGGATCAACCTGCCAGGTTAACTTGAACTCGTGTGCAAGCTTGCCATGTCATGGCTTGGCAACATGTGTTGATAAAGTGGATGGTTATCAGTGTATTTGTGCTCCAGGATACACTGGGGTAAATTGTGATCACAATGTGAATGATTGTGGTACATTGAATCCTTGTCACAATGGAGGAACCTGTCAGGACAGACTCAGTGGATACCAATGTCAATGCAGGTGAGATGTGGGATCAATGAGGTTAATTTTGTTTTTTTGTGGAAGTTGTAGTTGGTAGAATTCTCATATATTCGTGAGAATTGTTACAAAAATTTTAAAAAAAGTATTCAATACACTGTGGGCTAGTTCGTAGTGTGTAGTACCTAAATTGGCATTTGAGGTGTGATAACATATCAACCTAACCACAAAAACGAACGAACTTACAACATGCTCTCTGTAGTCTCGAGCTGAGTTGGTACACTGCTGGGACACTGCGAAGGATCGTGCATCATACGAATACTGTAGATTATTTGGGTAGAAACTCAGAACTGCTAATGGTGCAAATCCTCACGTGGAAATCCAGATTTTTCTTTGCCATGCACTTGCGTTGAACATTTCCCCACATGTTTGTTGTTGGTATCGTTATTGCAGGCCAGAGTTTACTGGAGCTGAATGTGAAGTCCCCATCAACAAGTGCACCAACGAATCCTGTGTTAACAATGGCTCTTGTATCCAAGGCGTTGGAATGATTACTTGTAGCTGCCCCCTTGGCTTTACTGGACAAAGATGCGAAACAGAGATTGACGCCTGTGACTCCAATCCTTGCCACAATGGTGCTACATGTCAAAAGTTTGGCGCTAGTTATGCCTGTTCATGTGCAGTTAGTTTCACTGGTCGTAACTGTGCGGTCCGAATCGATTACTGTGCTAATGTCACTTGCACAAACGGGGGTACATGCAACAATGGTGCAGGAAAAGCTTCTTGTAACTGTTTGCCTGGGTTTGCTGGACTAAGATGTGAAATCAATATTGACGAGTGTCTCTCTCGTCCATGTCGGAATGGAGGTAGCTGTGTAGACAAGAACAACAGTTTTCATTGTGTGTGTCCATCAGGAACACGGGGAGACCTTTGCGAGCAAGGTAAATTTATCGATACTATTTCCATGTTCTTTATTGTTTCGGCTTTGTCTGAGTGATGAGTTAGTTTGTTGGTCTATAGAGATGCATCGATGAGGTTTCCTAATGTCAAAACCTCCTTTATTCATTTGTAAAATTTAATCGCTGCACAGAGAATACGAGACAGGATTTCATAGCTGTCCAACAATTCCATATCTCTTTCACGTCATTTTTATTGATTTGTTTTTATTATTTTTAGTGATCGATCCTTGCTTGGAGCCTGTGTTAGTGAATGGATCCTCAGTTTTGAGAGATTCCGGAGTGTGTGGAGCTCATGGCACCTGTGAAAATGTCGATGTGGGAAAATTCAAGTGTAAATGTGATAAGGAGCACACTGGAAATCACTGTCACATAAGTAAGTTCATGTACTTGGAGGTGGAATTTAAGTTCATTTGTATGCGATCGCATCTATTCTTTTCTTGTGATGGGAAAATTGATTCTGATGTTGAGATGATTTCTTCCATAGAAATTGATCATTGTAAGAACCACACTTGCAAAAATGGAGCAAGTTGTCTCGATGGCAATGGAAACTATACATGTGTATGCACCGATGGCTGGGAGGGGGATTTCTGCGAAAAAGGTATTTGAGTGTTTGTACTTTAATTTATTGCGGTTACAAAATAATTTGGATATATCAACAAAGTTGAAGCGGTAAATTGGCCACCGTAACGATTACAAAAGCTGACGTTTCGAGCGTTTGCCCTTCGTCGGAGCGAATAGAGGAATTGTGGGTTGTGTGTGCTTTTGTGGTTACAGCTCTGTGTATTTTAAAAGGAGAATAAATCGGGCTTCAGGAAAAAGAGTTTAAGAAATATAATCTGCTTTTTCCGCAAACTAAGGCGAAAGAATACGTAGAAGGCAAAAATGTTACGGTTTTGAAAACTACTGAACTGTATTGCGCCTTTTTCAAGAGAACACGAACTGGTCGCCTTAGAAAAAAGTAGTAAAATGTTTACTGGTTGGCTTAATTTACAGACAACGCTTTTTATTTGCGATATCCTTATGCTTGTGTCTCGTTCGCTCTTTCTTTACAGATATAAATGAGTGCAACCCCAACCCTTGCCGAAATGGCGGGAACTGTACTAACCTAGTGAACGGATATGTTTGCAAGTGTCCCGACCCGTGGAAAGGAAAAATGTGCCAATCAAGTAAGGACGTGTGATGTTCTGCATGATCTATAGGATCCGGAATTTGAGAATTTCAATTTTTGTTTGTAATTACTTGCACTGGACGTTAATTTTGTTTGAGTTTAATTTGAAATTTCTTAAAAATGTCAACAGCAACATCACACTGTGATGGCAACCCGTGTCAAAATGGAGGCTTATGCATCGATACAGGAGACGACTTTCAATGCAGTTGTCAAAATGAATTTACAGGAAAGATCTGTCAAATAGGTAAGACGCCATAAAAGATTTATTATCGTTTTATATTTTATCGACGTTTTTTGTTTTCTTTGTTTCTTGCGTTCATTGTTATATATTTTTCAAAACTGGTGGTGTATAAAGACTTGTTTTTCAACCACCCGTGGAAAAAAATCGATAAGATTGTAATGAATGAGTTTGGACAGCACAGCTCACAACCCGCTCTTTTTTTTTATTCATAGAACCCCATTGTTTTGCTAATGAACACCTGTTGTTCTTTTCATTCGTTTTGTGGCTTCATTGTCGTCTTACACAAATTAAACGCGGCAACATGTGCGCCTCAATTGCTCTCCACACGTCGTGAACTCTTTTGTAACTCTTTTGTAAGCCCTCTGTTACATCGATTCTGGGTGTGCTTTCAAGGCGTGATCTTTTGATTAAAATAAAGAACGCGTTCCGCAGAACGTGCGCAGCATTTGGAGCGTTCAAAACGGATGAAACTACAAATGCGCGTAATTGAATATACAATGGCTAATGATACGGTTTTCCATTGAAATCATGTCACGATCTAAATGACGATGTCCACACACTTTCATTAAGTTCTTGATGTGCTTATTGTTTGTGCCTGATGGTTTTTTGTTATTGACGCAAGTGGAAGCGTGTTTTAAGCCATTTCCTGTCCTCCTTCATTAGAGCGTTTTGAGGTCAATCTTTCAAATTAAAATCGCAACTTAGATTGTTATCTGCAAATTACACTTGAGATAGATTTTGCCATCAAGGTAGCCCTGGATTTGGCGACGTGGATTCTGTTCTTTAGATAATAAAGTGATTATGGCCTGGGTAAACGGAGTGTCCATACTTTATTTTGCGTCAAAGTTTTAGCTTACAACATTATGTAAGAAAACATTCCAGACACAGCCCGTCGGCCATTTTTCTCATATTGTTTACTATTTTATTTCGGTAATCTTAAAAGCTCTCTGAAGTTGGATAAAGCCTCGATTAAAATTGCCTTTAAGATGGAGTATTTAAAAAAAGTGACAGCGCACATGTTTGATAGTCTGTTTTTTATTGTTTTACTTTTTGTCTAGCACCCAAGCCCTGTTCATCCGACCCTTGTCAGAATGGCGCAACTTGTTTGAATGCAGGCAATGGAGTGGGTTTTTCGTGTGTCTGCACAGATGCATGGGAAGGGAACCTTTGTGAAAAGAGTAAGTAGAACATTATGCATTTATTCTCTCTTCCCTTCTTGTGTTGGAAGTGTACAACTTCTAAGCTTTCACAACTGTTACTCTAACAACGTATGCCAACCCTGAGTGCTCTAACATCGGTATTCATATTCCCCATACTGTTTTCTATACATTTCTTATAGCGCTTATATAGAAAATTCATTTTCTTTATTCTCATGACCTTAGTGTTTAATTCAAAGGTGAGATTGACAGGAGAAATGACATACCCCACTCCCAAGTTAAATTCATAAATCTCTTTAAACGCACATATAAAGAATGAGAATGTTTCCCACAATCCCTTAGTAAACGCAAGGAATGTTATGCATACATTGGAGGTGCTGAGTCGAAATGAAATTTCAGCTTTGGACAGATCAGTTCCTTTGAGGAATACGTAGCGCTCATCAGGGGTTTTTTTTTTTCGCCTTCGTTCTTCTTTTAGATGTGGACGATTGTGCGTCTAATCCTTGCCACAACGGAGGCACGTGCATCGATGGCGAAGGCTGGTTCCTGTGCTCATGTGCGCCCGGATTTACTGGACCAGTTTGTAAAATTAACATCAACGAATGCAACTCGTCTCCTTGCAGTGACGGTGCAACTTGTAAAGATAAAATCGACGGCTTTGAATGTATCTGCCCGCCAGGGAAGTTTGGAGACCGTTGCCAAGGTAAGACTTTGAACAACTTGATGTTTGAAAGCTTAAGAGTAGATCGCACTATTTACATGACTCTATCGCTAAAGTGAACTTCATTTTTCAGCATTTTGCCGTTCCATAAATATAATTTTTTTTTTTCATTTATTTCATCAGATGACGAACATGATAAGAATCATTGTAGGCTTGAAGAAGGCGGCATTCAGCGTCACAACACCACTGTGCCAAAGGACTGTAACTCCTGTACGTGTTCATATGGCGTGCTGCACTGCACTGGAATAGACTGTGGTGTTCCCAATTGCTTGAATCATACTCAGGCTGGTGGCTGCCCCACTGGCGCGAAATGCGTGCCTAAGGCGGCGGCGGAGTGCCTCAGCCCACCTTGTGGTCGATGGGGAGAGTGTCAAGGTGGATCAACCGCCAAGATTATTACCGGAATAAATGACGACGCGTGCCTTCCCAATAGTACCTATTTGAATGGGGACTGTGCCAAGATTCATATCGTGTTCCAAGTGGATAAGCTCCCCAAGGTTAGTTCAATTGTGTTTCTACGAAGGTGCATGAAGTAGTCTATAGCCTATGACCAGGCTCAGGCCCTCATCATAAGCGTCGTAGAACACGCATTTCTCCGCCCGCAGGAAGATTTGAGACGAGTTGGAAAGACGTTTGTCGCGGGTCTGGCCTCATTATCGGTGTTAAACCCCCTTCTAGACCTCTCGCGGCTGGGAGATCTTTACATTCAGCGAGTACTGGTGAAAAAATACTGATCGTAGGCTACCAGATGGATTACTGCTAGCAGCACCGAAGTAAGCCCCTGATAGTTAAGGGCGAATGATTTTTCCATCGAAGACGACAAAGTTCATTCTAAATGTGTAGTATTTTCTTTCATCAGGGAACCCTTGTGGAAGAACTCTGCCGTCAGCTGCGATTTTTGCCAATGTTGAAGAAATGGGCAGAGAAGGCAAAACTTAGATTGCTCTGTGAAGGCCGAAGGAAAGACGGAACCACTTCAACTGTCATTGTATCAGTGGTAAGTGTAACTGTTATTCTCTTATGAGCTTTTACTTACTTTTACTTACTTTTAGTAAGCTTCGTGTGTTTTTCTCGTCTGATTTTCTAGACACCCTGGCTGAACGTAAACCTGTTATCTTCCTTTCTTTTAGTTAAAAACAACAGTGCTTACAGGGTTTGACACTAACTTTTCAACTTACTAGTCAACTGGCTAGTGACATCTTAGATGTTACGACAATTTCAGTTTGTTTAGTAACCAAACTGGTCAGTGCAAATAAAAAACCACTATCCAAAACTGAATTTCTAGTGGAATGCCGTTAGTGTCGAGTCCTGGCTTATATATTGTTACTATTTCTTGTAGGCCAGTACCCCGCGCACGGAAATAGCTGAAAAAGCGGCCCTTGATATCGCCCGATACATACGGTCTGTGCCATCTGAAAAAGGCCGTGAAATAAACATTACTCTTTACAACGTCCTCATAGCTGTGGATGAAGTCACTGTGGAAAGATCTGTTACACTTTCCTACCACGAAGAAGAAGGTGAGCGATGTAATAGTTGAAAATTTTTTGGAGAGGTTATACTAGCTTTAAGAGAAGTATAGTCACAACTTCCAGTCTGAACACTAGATAATATTATAAGGAGGCTTTGAAAACTCGACTTGAAAACATGTAAACCAAACTCGTGTGCGGCTCAACGAGCATAACCGAGTAGGGACTGGCTCTATAAAGCAGTCTGATTGGCTGAGAATATAGATCGAGTTTTTAAGACCAATGACTAAACAAGGTAAAGAAAAACCAACATAATTCCAGATTAATTTTCGAAACTCAAGTTAACGTTTTGAAGAAAAATAGGTAATAAACAGTCAACTTAACTTGCGAGGTCTAACTCTTTGCCTTGTTCTCTTCACAGCCGCACCGGACTACCTCATTCCTTTGATTGCATCACTCGTGGTGTTGGCGGCCATTCTTTTACTAATACTGTGCATCAGAGGAAAGTGGAGGGAAAGTCAACGAGCGAAAAGAGAAACACGTTTAGCTGCAAGACCTACACTGAAAAAGAAACGAAATACAACACAGGAGAAGCCATTGACTACTGCTAGAACTTACTATAATCAGACTTCCACGGAGTCTACGACTTCTTCGTCCTCGACATCCACGTCGACGCATTCAACGGAGCTAAGAAACTTTGAGTATAATCGGGAGAGTTTGCTCGACTCCACGCCCTCTGTGTGTTCTACGCCACAAGTATTGTCTCCACCCCTCTCCCCCAAGGAGGAAGGCGCAAAAGACGAATGGAGGAGATTTCGAGTGCAACGGAACAGTACGCAAATAGAGATAATCGTATAAGAAATTAATAGTGATAATTGCATATCCATCCATAAATAATTTAAAGAAAGGAATGAAACAATTTACACTGTTGTTAATTTATTGTTCCCACGAAAAAAAAGTGTAGCTTTTGAAAGCAATTTTATAACTCCAACAGTTAAAATATGGCGGCTATAAAATTTATTTATCATAGACAAATGTTTTAAAAGTATCAGTAAATATCTGGGGATGGTTTCGTTGAAAGGCCGACTTGTAAATAATACAACAAAGAAAGAAGTATTTAAGTGGTTTTTAACGCTGTAAATATGTAAACAATTAATTTAATATTTAAATGGCCATGTAGTTCGATATGAACGAAGGTGAGTCCAACACATTATTGTGTAAAAACGTATACTTCTCAACGATTTAATGTTGGTTCAAGTTAGCTGTTAACAGTTAAGAGTAAGTTTTGAAAGTGCATTTTGTAGCCACATAGTTTTTTAAAAATAACGTTAAAAATAGACTGTAGAACAGTTTCCCTTGTTTAATTAACTGTAACCCGTGGTGGTTTGTTGACAAGGTAAACTTGCCAGATTATTTTATATAGAACGAGGCTGCAGGCCACTCCGACTTGGATTTTTCTAAAAGTAAAAGTAAATTTGTTAAAGGTTTCAGATGGCCCAAGAATATTTTTGTAAATTTCTCAGTTCGGACCCATCTGTCTGGGCCTGAGTCCTAAACCGCCAAGTTTTTAAGCTTACGTTTGGTGTTATGTTTTTTGTTTATAATATGATTTGTATATTTCCTTATCTGGTCTGCTAAGCCTCTTAATTCTCGCATCTATCTGTCAATACTTTGTGTGTTCACTATCCCATAGTCACATTAGTGTTTCATGACTTCGTCATAGCTGGTTACGTAATTACTACGTGACTCGCTTTCGGTCACGTTAGCATCGCGTGGCCGAGTTGCATTAAATTGCTCGAGTGTTTAATACAATAACAGATTGAAATTATTTGAAATGTGAACACACTTTCATGCTTATCTAACACGCAAGGCTGAATTGTAAGCAGTCTCGTTGCTCGTGGAAATCCGAAGATGTCCCATAGCAACCGAAAAATACGAATACTTACTGGTTTCATTAAAAAAAAAAAAAAAAAAACTGACGATTTTGACTTGCAACGAGATCCATTTGCGAATTTATAATGTAGCCATTGCAATGCGTTCAATTATATCTGAGTGCTATAAAGAGTACATATTTGCCCGTCAAAACTGGCTGTAATCGGCAAAAACTTGCAGTGCAAAATTAATTCTTGTAAAGAATTTCAGCCCAGTAAATTGTCAGTTTCTTAAGTAATCATTATAAAGCGCCCGCCGCCACCACTGATTAGGTTTCTCTCGTTAATCGCGAGAAGCTAATCTGTCGAACCTGGCTGAGTTAGTTTGATGTTTGAGTTCTTGTTCGTGGCATTAATAAACACAGTTATCGACCATTCTGCCTACTTGTCTTACTTTACTTTATACTAAAATCAGCTGCTACCCGTGAAATTTATCCTGCGAGTAGCAACTCATTATTAGCTAAAGTAAGAGCTCTTGAGAAACACGAGGGGCCTTTTTTTTTTCTTTTTTTC